GGCAKCTCAGCCTGAGCCAGGGAGCCTCAGTGCTGCGGCTCAGGCGGAATGGAAATGTCAGAAACGCCACTGCTGGGATCCTCAGCTGCTTGTGCTGGGCTCTGTGTGGGGCTCCTGGGGCAGGATCTATCCCAATGTGSGGTTTTGAAAACAAAAAATATGGAAGCAGGTGAAATTGTGAGCCCCAAGGCAGGTTTTTAAGGCGCTGCTGATGCCAGGCGTGTGCCCACAGGACCRGAGAAATCCCAGAAATCCCAGGCAAGCTGCCTAGCTTACCCAGGCGGGGCATGCGGGAGAGCTCTTACAGCTGAGGGTCAGCAGGGCAGGATAAATAGAGCAAAACAGAGATTATTAGGCAAAATGGAGACAGCAGGGATTAATGAAAGAAGCAGGAAGGGGTTGGCTACTGCTGAGCTTGCTGGGCTTGGGTGGCGCACGGAGGCGCTTACCCCTGCCAAATGCTTGGGAGACAATTCCAAGCTCTGGTATCAAACCAAATCAAGGGTGGCAGATGTAAAGTTGAGCTGCGTTTGTCCTGGACCTTGTGGGTGCTAAAGCAGGGTGAGWACCAAACTCCACTGGGTGACCTCAGAGTTCCATAAGGGTTGATCCGGTTGTTGACCCGGTGCTGTCTCTCCCTCACTGCTTTGCAGAGATAAAGTTTCCTCCCCAAGTGAAATTGCATCTTTCATTCATCACCAAAGAATTAATAAAAGAATTAATACAGAGCTGGGCTAGGCTGCCTTTCTGAAGCGCTATTCGTAGCCTCAAGGGCTGAAGGACTTGGCAGGGAAATGCTGCTCCCTGTCCCACCGCCTCTTCAGACTCCGTTTCTGGGATTTTGAGCCGGGATCCTAAAATTCACAGCAGGAAGGGTATCTTCCCCAGTGGATGGTAGGAAGATARGACTCTTTTGGGGAGCAGCTATAGGATGCAGCTCAACAAACTCAGCCATGGGATAAAGACTGAGAAAAACATAGAGGAAACTTTGGGTTGAGGTAGGTGTCATGTTAAAGATCTCTTTGATGTCTAACATGATCTTTGGCCTGTTTCACCAAGGAAGGGTGACAGMTGTGACTTGCTGTAGGGACAGGAAGCGTATAGCATATGTAGGGTCTTCCATTGTCAGGATCATGATGYCCACATATGCCAGGCTCCATCGCCTTCAGGGTCCTGCTCTGGGGGAGATGTGTGATCTTGCTGGGGTCGTCGTAGTGRTGAAGAGGATGGAAGATGCAGTGAGGTGGTTGAACCTTGAGAATGGTTGAGCAAGGCCAGGACTTCGGGCTGATCCATCTCCAATGGGCTCCATCACTCCCGTGCTCATCGGAGGCGTGAGCCAYGTCTCACCCTCCGGAACCATCGCACACCCCAACCGCTCATGAGATTTGGGAGGAGAGTTGCATCCCGCATTGTCTCTGATCATCATGTGGGCGAAAACGCCACGTTCAAGCAAAAGACCAAGACCTGTCCTCGCCAGTGGCCCAGAGCTGGGGACAGCGGGAGAGGAACTCCAACCCGAGACATGTTGACAGCATCAAGTCTGTTTTCTGGTGCCTCCTCTCCACCGCATCTTGTGCTTCCCAAGAGAAGAAAGGGGGGAAAGCAGCAACTGCGGAGCAGGATTTGCTTGTGGAGCAGGATTTGCATTCAAAAGGAAAGCGGGAGACAGACGAAAAGAATAAGGTCAAAGCAAAGAGACTCTCAATCCTTTGCAGGGAGAACTCCGCTTCCAAAAAGGTTTTCTCAAGTTTCCCCATCCCTTTCTCGCTATCTCCGGGCTGTTAATAATTCAGTGATTTATATTTGCAGCAAAACCTGGCGTTTCAGGGCGGGGTAGGGGGGTTGAGGTTATTTCTGTTTGCAAAGACTTTAGCGGATTAACGGCGAGCATTGCCTTTTGAACCAAAACGAGCCCGTTTGGGGAATTAAAGTTTCATTAACAGTCACTGCTTCTTGATTTTTTTYCCATGCATTTGGTTTCTAATTGAGTTGCTTTATTTAATTTCTTTTTTTTTTAGAGGGGGAAGGGAGGACAGAGGGAAAGGATGGCCAGGCTCTTCCGGCGGAGCTCTTTATTAAGGGTGAGCTGTGAAAGAGAAGCAGGCGGTGAGTCAGCATCCTCCCCGCCAGCCGAGCTGTTGCTGGGGTTACTGGCGCAGGTGGCGGCGCGCCTGCCTCTTGCTGCTGTCCCCAAGCTGGGCCAGGACCTGGTTTTCCTAATGCACAAATCCCGGGCGCCAACTGGTGTCCTGGAAAARCAATGTGCTCCTGTGTGAGCATCCATCAGTTCGGGTGTCCCAGCTGAGCGAGCAGCTATGTGGGTGCTGAGCACTAGCTCTGCATGCTTCCCGGGATGCAGATGCTGCAGCAAAACACAACCGTGGGTTTCCAAACTGCTGTGTGTCCCTAAGCCCTGGTCCCTGTGGAAAATAACGCCTGGCTTGGGTGTCAATTTAGCCCTCAGCACAGGTGCTTTGGTCTCAAAGAACTGCAAAAACCATTGACTGACTGGCTTAATGAGAACGAGAGGACAGGGACGCAGTTCCGCTGCTCTGGAGGGAATRGGGATGCTCCAAGAAGCCCTTCCCAGCCCCAGGGGCTCCCCATCACATTAATCGCGCGGATGCTTTTGCCGCGGGTAATGAAAAGGCGGATCTGCGGTTAAAACTGCTCTGCCGATGCAATCTTATCCCTTAATGGCAAAATAACGTTGAGCTGCCGCCACGCGGGATATCGCTTTGCTGTCCTTGCAGCGCTCCGCCAACACGATCCCCATTAGGGCAAAATTTGCATTAACGATGTTTGGCCAGCTTAATCCCACCCGCTAATCACATTTTTTTAAGGCATTAAAATAGGTCTAACTCTGTCCTGAGCTGTAACCCCTGGGCTCCCAAAGAGACAGCCGGGATTTAGGCAGGTTGGCTCTCCTGAAGCCGATGGAGTCCCTGAGCACGATGCATTTCCAGTGCATTAAGATATTCCTGCTGCTGCCTTAGTGCCGAGGGGTTTCYGAGCCTGGCAGATAAAGAACAGATGATTTGTCCCAGATTTATCAATGGAAGCAGCTGCTCATTCAAGGGCGAGAGAGGAGACATTCCCACCCCCACCATCCGTGGGGTGGTGCTCCCAGATGGAGATGGGGAGTTTCCTCACCCAAGGGTGCTGCAGGTCTGGGTGGGAGTTCAGCAAGCCCAGAGGGCTCCTTGGAAAGGGATATTTTGCTGGGATTCATGTGTGTTTGGGATGTCATCAGTGTGAGAAAGGGTTTAATCCTGCTCCTGTGATTTCCCCTGGAAAATATCTGGAATAAACTGCTGTGATTATGGAAGTTTTCTCTTGTCCCTGCCAGCATTGGTGCCCCCAGTGAATATTCCTGGTGTAAAGGCAGCCTTGTGCCAGATGACAGTGATACATTGGCGGAATTCCTGGCAGGCAGAAAAGAAGAGCTGGGCGAAAAGGAAGGGGGAAGTGCAAGAGTTAACAGCGAGCCTGGGCTGCGCTTCCTGCCCTGTCCTGCTCTGGAGATGCTCCGGGCTGGAAGGAAGCAGCTTGCTTTCCTTGGGAGCACTCCCAGAGATTAATTCCTGCAGAAGGGATGAGGCAAGCGGATGGGGTGCTTCTTTGCATGAAATGGGACTCAGTGGATGGGGTTTAGAGCCAAGGATGGAGAGGACAACCAGGGATGGTCACTGCAGCAAGGTGTCCCCAGCACCATCGCAGGAGACCACCTTCAAACGGCTGCAGTTTTCCTGCTGCTGTGGGAAAGGGCAGGACATTTTCTTGCTGGCCCTGCTGTCTGGAGAAAGCACTGGGAATGCTTTCTGAAGCTGGGATGCAATCACGGGAACAAGAGCTCGGTGCCTATAGGATGCCCACCTTGCCAACCGGCTCCCTCGTGCCGCCCTGGCATTCCCACTGCGGAGCCAGCTCTCACRGAAGCGTTTAGTGCTTGGCTCCTTCTCCGGCTTTGTGTGTTTTGTGCAGCTTGTTGCTAATTCTGAGGATAAATAAGTTTGATCTTTTCAGCTGTTTCCCTCCCTACCTTCTGGAGGCTGGGCCAGTTAAAAATATCTGTGGTAAAAAAACCAAGCGGGACTCAGATGCGCCAGAGTGCTTCCAACCTCCAGCACAGACGGTGGAAAAGAGCTTCCAACTTCCCCAAGCCTCGTGGCTGGACTTTATTCCCAATCCAGGAATGCCCTAAATTGCAGGAACTCCATTTGGCCTGTGAGATTAATGGGTTTCGAGAGAGCCCAAGATGGGTTTGGGAGAGCTCTTGGGGCAGATATCTCTGAGCCAAGAGACACCACTTGCCGTGGGGGAGAYTTTTTCCGTAAAAATAATCCCATCGCATCCAAACGCAACTTTTTGCATGAGACCAAATCCGTGAGACCAAATCGGTCTGTGTGTGTGAGGGGGAATTAGAAGCCACAGGTAGCAGCTGTGGAGAGGCCGAGCTCAGCTCAGCCCTTCGCCCAGGGTCTGGCTCAACTTCTGTGCCTATGGGGTCAGCACCGTGGGGATGCACCTGCTCCTCCTCCATCCCTGCCCTAGGCAATGAAATGAAATGAAATGAAATGAAATAAAATAAAATAAAATAAAATAAAATAAAATAAAATAAAATAAAATAAAATAAAAAACAGAGCAAAACAAATCCCTGAGCCTGCAGCTGAAATGCTGATTGGAAACCCCCGTAATGCGCTGCCTGCTGGGTCTGGGGCGGGAGGGGAGCTCGAGGTGGGGGGATCGAGGCGGGGGGCCAGGGCAGCTCTGAGGAGGAGCCCGGGGGGGCCGGGGCGGCCCGGCCGGGGGCGGCTCCGCCGACCGAGGCGGTGCCTGGGCTGGGGGCGGATTTTTTGAGCGGAGCCTCCGCTGCTCAGAGCGGCGGCGGGGGGAGCCCGGGCGGGCGGCGGCGGCTGCTTCCCCGCGGGCGGCTGCGGGAGGAGGAGGAGGAGGAGGAAGAGCCGCCTCCTCTCCCTCCGCTTCCTCCCGTCTTTATGGACGAGCGCCTGAGCCTGCTCCGCTCGCCGGGCGCCTCCGCCGCGGGCCGCCCGGCGCGGGGCAGCGGCGGCAGCAGCAGCCCCCGCGCCCGGCGCCGCGGCGACCAGGCGGCGGAGGAGGAGGAGGAGAGGGAGGAAGGCAGCATGCCCGTGGCGGCCGGGGGTGACGCGTCGCCCGACGAGCCGCGGCATCGCCCGCCGGCGCTGCCCGCCGAGCGCGGCGAGCGCGAGTGCTGCGAGCGGGTGGTCATCAACATCTCGGGCTTGCGCTTCGAGACGCAGCTGCAGACGCTGGCGCAGTTCCCCGAGACGCTGCTCGGAGACCCGCGCAAGCGCGGCCGCTACTTCGACCCGCTCCGCAACGAGTACTTCTTCGACCGCAACCGGCCCAGCTTCGACGCCATCCTCTACTATTACCAGTCCGGCGGGCGCATCCGGCGGCCCGTCAACGTCCCCATTGACATCTTCTCCGAGGAGATCCGCTTCTACCAGCTTGGGGAGGAGGCCATGGAGAAGTTTCGAGAGGACGAGGGCTTCATTCGGGAGGAGCAGAGGCCACTCCCTGATAAGGAGTTTCAGCGGCAAGTGTGGCTCCTCTTYGAGTACCCAGAGAGCTCTGGGCCAGCCCGAGGCATTGCCATCGTTTCCGTCCTGGTCATCCTCATCTCTATTGTCATCTTCTGTCTGGAGACRTTGCCTGAGTTCAGGGATGACCATGACTTTGAGGGAACTGCAGGAAACTTTGGGACAGATGGTGGCCCTTTTCCAACCAATGTCCTCACCAATTCCTCCTCCACGTCTGCTTCCATGGTGTCGTCCTTCACCGACCCATTCTTCGTGGTAGAGACTTTGTGCATCATTTGGTTTTCTTTTGAGCTGCTTGTGCGCTTCTTCACTTGCCCCAGCAAGGCCACCTTCTCCAAGAACATCATGAACATCATTGACATTGTGGCCATCATCCCCTACTTCATCACACTGGGAACTGAGCTGGCTGAGAGGCAAGGGAATGGCCAGCAAGCCATGTCCTTAGCCATCCTCCGCGTGATCCGCCTGGTGCGGGTCTTCCGCATCTTCAAGCTCTCGCGGCACTCCAAGGGGCTGCAGATCCTGGGGCAGACCCTCAAGGCCAGCATGCGGGAGCTGGGCCTGCTCATCTTCTTCCTCTTCATCGGCGTCATCCTCTTCTCCAGTGCCGTCTACTTTGCCGAAGCTGATGACCCCAGCTCGGGCTTCAGCAGCATCCCCGATGCCTTCTGGTGGGCCGTGGTGACCATGACTACAGTGGGCTACGGGGACATGCACCCCATCACCATTGGCGGCAAGATCGTGGGCTCGCTCTGCGCCATCGCGGGCGTGCTCACCATCGCTCTGCCCGTGCCCGTCATCGTGTCCAACTTCAACTACTTCTACCACCGCGAGACCGAGGGCGAGGAGCAAGCCCAGTACATGCACGTTGGCAGTTGCCAGCACCTCTCGTCCAGCGAGGAGATGAGGAAGGCCCGGAGCAACTCCACGCTGAGCAAGTCGGAGTACCTGGTCATGGAGGAAGGGGGCATCAACCACAGTGCATTCAAGCAGGCTGCCTTGAAGACGGCCAACTGCACGGCCACAAACAATCCCAACTGYGCGAACATCAAAAAGATCTTTACGGATGTTTAAGAGCAGAACAAARCACCAGAGCAAACGCCTGAGGCTGCAAACCCACGACCACAACAACAACAACGAATACTGATGCAAAGTGACTGTGTTCTCAGTGTTGTGTGGACCATGCACCATCGTCGGTCTGTGTGTGCCCTTGGTTTTATACGTCGATTTTTATTTTTATTATTTTTTTTAGATTGTTCCTTTCTTAAAAAAAAAAAAAAAAAAAAACGGATTTAAAAAGCTTGGGAAGAGGATGAGTAAAGGGGAAAAGCAAGTAAGCTGACGGCAAAAACCTGCTGCGCGTTGGAACCAGGCGTTTGCTCCGCACCTTGGCTTTCCTTGGGCTTGGGGACATCTTGCTTTGCTTCTGCTTCCCTTCCCCTGCCTCCCGCCCTGTCCTCTCCGTGCCGGCAGCGTGTGGCTCTTTCCCTAAGCTCACTTGTTGGAGGAGCAGGCGCGTGCGGGGCGGGGAGGCGAGCGAAGCGCGTCGCGGCGGCGCTGCCGGGGGGCCCGAGGAGGAGCCCCCCCGGTAACTTTGCACGGAGGCTCTGGCGCCGCCGCAGCGGTGGGAGCACCGCGTAGCGCTGCGCTGTCAGGGAAGCAACCCAGCAGCGTGTAGGAAATTGCCATCTGCCCGGAGACCGAGGGTAATCGGGTCTGGTTCAAAGAGCAAAATTAACCCCCCARATCCTCGTTTCCTATCCTCAATTCCCTCCCCCTGCAGCCCCGGAGAGTTGTTGCATCCGAAGGGGAACGGCTGGCAGGCGCGGGGCCGCAGGAGGCGATAGCCGGGGTGGCTGCGCGGTGCTGGCGAGTGCTCCGTGCGCGGAGCTCAGAGCATCCTGCCCAGAGCAGCCGACAGCGCCTCGCAGCACGAGAGGCTGATGGGGACCGGAGGGATGCAGTTGCCTTGGCGACGCCRGTTTCCCGGGAAACCCCCCTCTCCCTCCATCCGCCAGGTTGTCATGGCATCCCGCTTCCCATCCCCACCGTCGTCAGCCCTTGCAGACATTTCCCGTTCCCGCCGGATGGGCTCCACCGCTCCAGTCGCTGGCGCGAGGGCGCTCCAGGCGCCGGCTCCCGCAGCACCAAATCCCTGCGCTCCACATGCTGGGCTCACGGCATCCCAGCCTGCATTCGCCCAAAGGAGCACGTGCCGGCGCCCAACCGGGAATTGCCACCAGCGCCGCCAGCCTCTGGAAAGCAGCTGGAAAACTGCAACTCTGTAAAGAGCAGGAGCGCCACGTGTCCCAAATCCCACACCGGGCAGGGGAGACGGTGCCCACTCCATCCTTCCTCGTGCGCTGCTGACCTCTGGACATCTACCAGGAATGGGGAGCTTCCCACCGGGTGCTTGCCACCTCCTAAGGTACCACTGGGTGTGTTTTGGGGGGGGACATGGTGCTTTGCACAGTTCTGCACCCGGGTGGGCTAAAGCTACACAACCCCCTGCAGGTCCTCTTCTCTCTTTGCTTTTCCCATTGTGAAACCAGGATTCCCAGGATGCTAACGGCATCCGACAGCTTTAGTGGCACTGCYGTTGTTCCCACCAGCTGCAGATCAGCTGGATCGGGTAGAGGCACAGGCGTTTTGCCCAGGCAGCCTTTTCCAGGAGGCCAGGAGGCCTTTTCCCACCAAGCTCCCACCTTTGCATCCTTCCTAAGGATCCTTCTCCAAGGCCCRTTGAGATCTAGCAGCCGAGGAGACCCTCTCCCACCCCGGAGGATTCACGGATGTGCATCCATGTGATTTTTCCAGGTGGCAGCTGCTGGGCCGTGTGGCCACGGAGGCAACGGGTCCAATGGACAGACAAACAGGCACCCGGGGCAGGGTGAGGGGCTCAGCGGAGGCCGAAGCGCTGGGAGCAGGAGCCCGAGTCGCGGAGCGTGGACAGGGACTTCAGCTCAAGCGGGGACACCGGCTTAACCGTGTAGTTTGGAGCCCTCTTCCTGCCGAGCCGTTAAAATCTGCGTCTCTGGGAGAGCACGCGGTGCTTCCAAGCCRGTCTGCTGCACAGAAGCCTTTTTGCTCTCTTTTTTCCCTGTGTTTATTTGAACAGAGCTGAGTACCTTGGGAAATGAAAGCCGGCACAYGGGATTTCTCCATGCGCTCCCTGATCTCCTCGCACTGGGTGGTGCGGTTGGGTTAAAGAGAGGCTGCCGCTGCCTTCCCTGGTTTCCTGGGATTTAGGGCTTTMGTGACAAGACCTGTGTGCCTCTTTTTTTCCAAGAAGGAGGTTCCTTGGGAATGGCTGCCAGCTGGGATCGGGGTCTTGACTTGCATGAAGAGATGGCAGCACTCGCAGGGCACCTTGTTCCAAGATTCCTGACCCTGGAATCACTACCCTGATGGGCTGGGGGGACATTTTCCCATGGCTCACACCAGGTGGGAGCTGATTTCCAGTCCCTGGGAATTCCGGCCGCTCTGGAGCTGTGGGGATGGTGAAGGGAGCAGCCGAGCGCGCGGCTCTGCTCCAGCTGCTGGGCCGTTTACAAGGCATCTCGGCTGCTGGTTCCCGTCCTCAGCTGCTGCTGGAACAGAGAGTTTCCTCTGGGAATACAGCTGGGGCTTTTCAGGAGCCCAAGCTCCTGAATATCTATCTAGCAGTATCTATCCAGCAATATCTGTCTGACTTCTGACTGTTTTTCCTCCAGGAA